ACTGTCCTCACTTCAGACACCAGCTGCAAGTTCAGAGGTCCCCAGGACCACCCCTCACTTTAGACCAGCTGGCTACAAATTCGGGGGTCCCCAGGACGACCCTCAGGTTTGATCATTTGCTAGGATGACTCACAGAACTCAGGAAAGCTCTACACCTAGGATTACAGTGTGTTAGTTTGTTTTTTTTTATAGTGAAAGGATACAAATCGAAGCAAGCCAAAGAAGGAGACAACAGGGCAGAGTCTGGGAGAGGCTAAACGGGAACTTCCAGCTGTCCCTTCTCCGTGGAGTCACCTCTTCCCAGCCACAGTGAGTGACAGTACGCCCAGAGCATTACTAACTGGCGTCCTTGAGCCTTTGGTGTCCAGAGTGTTTACCGGGGCTCCATCACCTACTGCCCACATGGCTGACCTTTAGTCTCCAAGCCCTCTGGGAGGTCAGGCTAATAGCTTTAGTCCCAGTTCCTCTGGAGGTTGGAACTGATCAGTCTCTTTCAGAGGCCTCATCACAGATCACACTGTCAGACTGTCCAGCGGCCAAAGCCCCCAGGCAAACAAAGACTCTCCCATCAGGCAGGCCATTCCAGGGGCCAGACCCCTCTTTAAGTCAGGTTAATTCTTCACAGTACAATAGGGCAAGCTCCAAAGTAAGTGCCCAAAGACACAGGGTGGTGTGGCTGTTAGAAGCCTGGCCTTGATTTTAAAGCCTCCAGTTACAGCTCTGGCTTTGCCACTCCTGAGTTTAGTGATCTTAGCAAGTTGCTTTACCCCTGTTGATACCCACCAGCCAAAGACACCCGGGAACATCACTGTAGTTGAATGAATTTGAGTTTATTGGTACTTGTTGCAACCAAGGAGACCGTACACTGTGGGGAACCATGGAGTGTCTCAGTAAGTAGCAGGTAGGAGGGGTTTATTGTAGGATTTGGGCTTGTATGAGGTGATTTACAGTGTAAAAAATTAATAAACAGAAACCTCAGGTAGAGTCGGGAGGCCAGAAGGGGGTGTCCTCATGCACTATTAACAATAGCAGAGACCAACAGGAAGAAGAAAGACTCCTTTCCCGGCAAGGACTCAGCCAATGAAAAGCCATGGACTCTGCTTTCTAGAGCCCTCCCAGCTTCCTTTTCCTCTCTGTAAAAGCATTTTCTTTCCACTGCAATGTAGGGGCTTTCACACACACACACCCAACTCTACGGAGACAGAAGCTCCTGCACTTGGGACCCTTCCAAACCTCACCCTATGTCCTTCATCAGGCTGTTCATCTGTATCGAATAAACTGGCAAACGTGTTTCCCTGTATCCTGTAAGCCATTCTAGCTAATTATCGAATCCAAGAAAGGGGTCATGGGAACCCTGACTTCTAGCTGGCTATTCAGAAATACAGATAACAACCTGGGACTTGCAATTGACATGTGAAGCGGATGCAGTCTCACGGGGCTGATCCCTTAACCTGCGATCTGATGCTAACTCCAGGTAGATAGTGTCAGAATTGAGGTGAATTGTAGGACACCCAGCTGATGTTGCAGAGAATCGCTTGGTGTGGAAGAAAGCTCCACTCATTTGGTGACCAGAAGTGTCAGAGGTGTTGTTTGAGAAATAAAGGAGAAACTGGAGTGTTTTTTCCTACTCAAGCCAGTAGATACCGTCATCGACATCACTGAAAAATAAGAGTTTGTGATAAAATGGAGAAACTGTAGAATCAAAATAAAGCCAAATACATGAGAGAAAGAGGGAAGGATGTCCTGAGGAGAGGTCATCAGATGAGGGCCACGGTCTGTCACTGTGACACCTACATGGTGCCAGGTCAGCCAGAGTTGTATGTGAGTTTGTGTGTGTGTGTCCCCTTTGAGTGTGGGAGATCATAAGCGAGTATAGTAGCAATACATAAACTGGATTATATACCATGACCAAGTGGGATTTATCCCAGTAGTGCCAAGTTGGTTTAACATCCAAAAATTCCATTATTGCCACATAGCACATTAAAGAATAAAGGGGAAAAAATATAATTGTCTCAATAGACACAGAAAAAGCATTTGACAAAATTCAACACCTTGCATGATAAAAAACACTAAAGGAGCTAGGAATAGAAGGGATCTACCTCAACCTGCTAAAGGGCATCTAAGAAAAAATGCTTTCCTTCCAATATTATGTACAAGACAAGTATGTCTGCTCTTGCCACTTCTATTCAACATTAAACTGTTCTAGTCAGGAAAAGAAAAAGAAATAAACGGCATTTGGAGCAGAAATAAAGTAAAACCATCTCTATTTGCAGGTGACATGATCTTATATGTAGAGAACCTTAAGGAGTCAAAAAAAAAAAGAAAACAATTAGAGCCATTAAACAAGTTCAGCAAGATTACAGGATGCACGATTAATATACAAAAGCATCAATTTTATCTCTTTATAATACAAATGAGCAATTCAAAAAGAAAATTAAGAAAAGAACTCAATTGATAATAGCATTAAAGAGAACAAAATACTTAGGAATAAACTTAACAAAACAAGTGTAAGACTTGCTCACTGAAAACTACAAAACATTGTAGAAGGAAATTAAAGACCTAAATAAATGTAAAGACAGCACATGTTCATGAATTGGAGAACTTAAAATTAAGACGCACTGCCCCCCAAATTCATCTATAGATTCAATCTCCATCAAAATCCCCAGCTATCTTCTTTGCACAAATTGACAAGCTAATCCTAATATTCATATGGAAATTCAAGGGACCCTGAATAGCCAAAACAATCTTGAAAAGAAAGAACAAAGTTGGAGGACTCACACTTCCTGATTTCAAAACTTACTACAAAGCTACCGTAATCAAGACACTGTGATATGAACATAAGGATAGACAAACAGATCAATGAAATAGAATCAGAGTCCAGAAATAAACGCTCACATTTACAGCTAAATGATTTTCAACTGAAGGTGTCAAGACAATTCAATGGGAAAAGAACAGCCTTTTCAACAAATGGCTGGAAGAACTGGATATTCACTTGCAAAAGAATGAAGTTGAACCCCTACTTCACACATATACAAATGTTAACTCAAAATGATGGAAGACCTAAATGTAAGAGCTAAAACGATAAAACCATTAGAAGAAAGCATAGGTGTAAATCTTCATGATCTTGGATTAGGCAATGGCTTCTTAAATACGACACCAAAAGCACAAGCAGCAAAAGAAAATTTAAACAAACTGGGAACCATCAAAATCAGAAACTTCCGTGCTTCAGAGGATATCATCAAGAAAGTGAAAAGACAACCCACAGACTGGGAGCAAAACTTTGCAAATCATCCATCAAATCAGAGAACATATAAAGAACTTTTTCAATTCAACAAAAAGACAAATAATCCAATTAAAATGGGCAAAAGATCCGAATAGATATTTCTCTAAAGAAGATATGCAGGGACTTCCCTGGTGGCACAGTGGTTAAGAATCCACCTGCCAATGCAAGGGACATGGGTTCAAGCCCTGGTCCAGGAAGATCTCACATGCTGTGGAGCAACTCAGCCTGTGTACCACAACTACTGAGCCTGCGCTCTAGAGCCCATAAGCCACAACTACTGAGCCCATGTGCCACAACTACTGAAGTCTGCATGCCTAGAGCCCGTGCTCCGCAACAAGAGAAGCCACTGCAATGAGAAGCCTGCACACTGCAACGAAGAGTAGCCTCCGCTTGCTGCGACTAGAGAAAAGCCCCCACACAGCAATGAATAACCAACGCAGCCAAAAATAAATAAATACATACATTTAAAAAAAAAAAAAAAAAAGATATACAAAAGGCCAATAAATATGTGAAAAGATCCTTAACATCAACATTATGGAAACGCATACAAGATACCACTTCACACACACTAGGATAGTTATAATAAAAAAGACAGACAATAACAAGAGGTGGCAAAGATGTGGAGAAAGGAAGTGGAACCCTCATACAATGCTGACAGGAATGTAAAACGGTACAGATACTTTGGAAAACAGTCTGGCAGTTCCTCAAAAGACTATGACCCAGCAATTTCACTCCTAGGTGTACATGCAAGAGAATTAAAAACATTGTCCACACAAAAAAATTGTATATGAATGTTCATAGCAGCATTATTCATAATAACCAAAAATAGCAGAAACAATCCAAATGTCCATCAGCCCATGAATAAAGTGTGGTATATCTATACAGTGGAGTATTACACGGTCATAAAAGGGATGAAGTACTGATACCTGCCAAATCATGGATGAATCCTGAAAATATTACGCTAAGTGAAAGAAACAAGACACAAAAGGCCACATGTTCTGTGATTCCATTTATATGAAATGTCCAAAATAAGCAAATCTAAAGAAACAGAAAGGAGATTAGTGGTTGCCTAGGGCTGGGGTGGGTGTGGTTTGAGGTTGACAGTTAAGGGATGAGGGGTTCCTTTTTGGGTTAATGAAAATGTACTCAAATTGATTGTGGCGATGCTTTCACAACTCTGAATATATAGTAAAAGCCATTGAATTGCATACTTTAGATGGATGAATTATATGGCATGTGGATTATATCTCACTAAAGTTGCGTAAAAATAGTATAAGAGGAGAAGGAGCAGAGGCAGTAAGGGAGCCTGTCAGGACGTACTGTGATTCCTGATACCTGGAGCCACCTTCCAGGCCCTCCCCTGCCCTGCCTGTCCCCACTCCTGGTCTGGTACCACCAGCTTGCACCTCAACTCCATTCTGTTCAGGCGTGAAAAGAACTACGTGTAAATGTTTGGTCGAACCAGCTGTTCTATATGCTGGCCTGGTAAGGAGTTTGTTGTCAGCTCCTCCCAAACCAGCTATGAAGGTGAGGGAGAACTCTGGGTGGGACACAGCCCCTCTGGGCGATAAGACCAGCCGCAGAGGCAGCCCAGGCCTGGGAGAGCCCAGGAACTCCAGCCCCGTGTGGGCCGTGGCTGTACCCACTGCTGGTGGGTTAAGCCCCCAGCCCCCAGGATCAGAGTGTGGCCTTCAAATCTTGGGGACCCCGAGAAGTCTCAAGCCTGCGGCTCTGGAGGCCTGGGCCCCGGGGCCCTGTGTCTCAGAGAGGTCCTCAAAGCCTGCAGGATGGTGCCCTGGCTGTTCCGTACGTTGTAGTCACTGAGCTGCAGCAGGCGGTCAAAATCTTCCTCCTTGTAGGTCATGTTGAACATGGAATAGGGGGAGTTGACCCCTGTGAGATCCACCTGGCCTGCTGGGAGCTCTGCAGGGCTGCGCTGGACACCTGTCCAGGGGTGGAAGGGGGTTAGGCGCAGGGCCCAGAGGCCTCCACAGCTGGCAGAACGGCTCCTGGTGGCTGGACACAGGGGTGAGCTGCTCCCCACTGAAGGGGTTCCTTCCAGCCCCATGTCCTTTGCCCAGAACTATAACTGTGGATAGCAGGATGCTATTTTGAGATATGAAGCGTGTGCTGCTTCCCACATTTTCTCACGGCATTACACATCTTCCACTGTTCAGGGCCCCCCTGGTATCCACCTCACCCCCAGGGGTAAGGCAGAAGCAGCAGAAAAACAAAACCCTTTAGGTTAGTGAGTGGATTCTTAAAACTCCTGATGGAAGCAAGCGTCTGAAAACCAAAGAGCTTTTGCTTTGCAAGAAACAGTCTTTGTTGCGAGAGAAAGAGAATTCCAAGATGTGGGCTTAGCACGTTAAGAGTAAAGCTAGAAGGTTTGGAATTATGGCAGACACTAGAAAGCCAGACGATTGCACAAAGGCAGAATTAGGTTTTCCCATCAAAAGGGGATAAAAGTCTGACCAGTTGGTGGGAGGCGAGGATTAGAAGGAATGTGATGAGAGTTCAGATTTCGGGGGCCCTGGAGTAGAGGCCCAGCTCCCTGAGAAAGGACCCCAGAATGGTCTGCGGTGGAATGACAGAGAGGCCAATTGTGACCACAGACAGGTTTAGGGGAATCTGAGAGAGAGGGGACCGGGGCTTCTCTTTTCTGGCTGTCCAGCCTGGGGGGCCTTTAGAAAGTCCTCCAACAATGTGGTGCGTCGTAGTGGTGGACGGTGACAGTGCAGGGATTCCCATACATGGCCCCTGCCACAGAGCGGGGGAGCAGAGCCCAGTTGTAGTGACGGGCATGGGGATGGGGAGGCCAAAGGAGCCTGGGGTCATGACAAAGAGGACACCAGCCCAGTGGCTTTGTAGACGGAGGGCCTCTGCAGGGATCTGGGCATCCACAACAGGCCAGGGTACTGCCATGTCCCAGACTGGGTGGGACTAGCCTTAAGACTCCTGCCTCTGCTGGCTGCAGGGGTACCGGGAGGGCCCAGAGCGGTGCCTCTGAGGGGCCAGGCTTCCAGGCTGTTAGGAAGGGGGGCTGCCTCACCTGGGGCTGAGTGGTCCCTGAAGGAGGCGTTTACCAGCGGGAAGTGAAGCAGGACAGGGGCATCAGGGCAGGTAGGGTCTGAGAAGAGGTGGCACTCCCGGGGCTGGCGTCGGTCCTGAAGGCTGGGCTCCACGTGGGGGAACGGCAGCCCCCGGGGCCCGGCAGTCTAGCTCCGTCTGCTGCAGCACCTGGCGGGGCAGAGGGGGCTCAGAGAGCAATGGCTACTTCCCAGTCATCCCGGGTGAGCACTCTAGAAGATGCTAGGACAGCTCCAGCCCAAACTGACTGCTCAAGACAACCTGATTCTGTCCTGCTCGTGGCCCAGTCAAGCTACACAGTGCCTCGGAGGGAAGCAAAGGATCCCGGTGGTCTGCAGTATCGTTTGACTAAAATCTTTAGGTGGGGTACAGATCTAGCACCCCGTATGGGATTGCTGTTTCTGGGATATTCAATCTCAGAGCCTCCAGGGCTTCAGCAGGGGACCCACTTCTGTCTCACAGCCCTACCCACCCCCTTCCGCAGAGTCCTCAGGGAGGCCCCTGGGAGGATGGGCGTGGACAGGCCAGGCCCTCCTCCTAGCTCTGTCCAGCGGTTCCTCTTGGGGTGGGCGTGGCGAGCTTCCTCCCTGTCTACCGTTCTTAGGAGCCCAGGGCCCCAGCACCTCCACAGCCCTTCCCAACCCTGGCAGGAGCCTTTCAATCACAGCCTGTCATCTCTCCCTCCCCCTGGGGACCCAGAAGGTCTGGGCCAGTGGCCCTGCTGCTCGTCCCTGGAGTGTGGCCTGGGTGGGCGCAGGGCCTGGGGTTCCCACGGGGTGGCCAGCGGCACCTCAAAGGGCGAGGGTAGAGAGTAGTCGAGGAGATTATGAGGTCCAGCCTGCGGCCTGGCCGGAACATGGAGGGACAGCTGGTGTTGAGGAAGAGTAGCCGGCACCCACCAAGCAGAGCTGGGGCTCCTGTGGGGTCAGCTGCCCGGCGGAGGAGTCTACCTGGCGGTCTGATGGGAGAGGTAGCAATAGTCAGGGGCAGCCAGTCCAGCACAGATCATCCACCCACCCCTTATACTGCATTCGCCTCCATGTCCCCTTCTAACCCCTGGTGTCACTCCCTGAATGCATGTGCCACCCCAGCCCTTCCCAAGACCTCCTCCAAGCCACACCCCAGAAGTGGATGCTGGGACCCCGCAGGCCTCTGCCAGCCCCAGCCATGGTCCATCTCCACCCAGGAGCCCAACCTTGTTACCTGGGGACACATGGCAGTGGCCCTTACCTGCCCAGGTGGAGAAGTCCTTCTGGGCACAGTAGTCCTGGTGCAGCTGGAGGCCCTGGAGGAAGTTGGAGCTGTGCTGGTAGAGTGGTCTGCTCGTCAGGAAGCCCTTCAACATCTGGGCTAGCGCTGTTCCAGGCTGGAGCCACAAGGCCTCCGGCCCTGAGGAGGTCCCCGAGGAGGGAGGAGGATTCCTCTGAGCCCAGAGAAGCAGACACTGGTCCATTGAGGAGTCTGGAAATGCCTGGCCCTCCCTCCCCCGACAGTCCCCCCAGCCGACCCTGTAGCATCTGCAGGGGAAGCGGCTTCACCGCACGCTCCCCTCAGTGCCTCCCTTTCCTACCCAGGTTCCTGATCTTGTCCTTGATGTGCTGCTTCCAGGCGTCACTGGAGCTGGTGAGGTCATACCAGGCATCCAGCAAGTTCAGGGAGAAAATGTTGCTCCAGATACCTGAAGGCCAAACTCCCAAGAGAGGTCAGCCTCAGGCCTCAGTGCCCTGCCCCCCATCACTTGGAAGGCAGTGGTCCCCACCCTTGAGTGCAGATGGAGAATAGGAGGGGGAGTGGGCTGCCTCTGCAATGGCCCTTCCCCCCAGCTCAATATCTGCCCTCCCCGGGTGCTCTGCCCAGACCTGGGTACAGGGCGTTCGGAGTGATGACCGCTCACCTTCCAGGAAGCAGATTCGGGACTCGGGGATCCTCCTCATCAGCCGCCCCATGAAGAACTCCGAGCCGAAGAGCTCAGAGGGGATGAAGGCGCCGTACTTCAGGAACCCGACCTCGTAGGGGGAGAACTCGACCCACTCTGAGGGGCCAGGAGGGAAAGGCAGGAATGAAAGGACAGTGGGTTGGGGGAGCCCCAGCTCCGACAAGGGCCAAAGACACTGCCCCCCAGCAGGCCTCCGCCTCCTCCCCACCTGGTTGACTGTTGAGCTGACCTCTCCCCCACCCAGCCCCTTGTCTACATCCTCACCACCACAGCCGTGCCCCAGGACAGCGAGCTCTGCTGGCTGCCTCATCTGCCCATCAGAACCACCATCCTTCCATCTGTGCAGGAGTTCCCTGTGTGAATCCTCTGGGGGCCCTCAGGGTGCAAAGGAGGTGTGCATAAGGAGGTGTGCGTGCACATGTGTGTGTGTGTGTGTGTGTGTGTGTGTGTGTGTGTGTGTGTGTGTTGGAGGGGGCAGTGAACAGGACTGAGGACTGTACCCTTGAAGTCCAGGGTCTGCAGATTGTTCTCTTTGACATTGAGGCTCAGGTAGAGGGGCAGAGGGTTCTGGCCCCACTCCAGCGCAGCTCTCTGTCCCGACAGCTTCTGATCCATCACCTGGGGTGGGGGTGTGAGGGCCAAAGTAAGGTTGGGAGCACCCTGGAGGCAGGGTGGGAGCACAGGCTGGGGGTGAGGAGCGTCGGGGTCTCCATGTAGGGTTGTGCACTGCGTATCTGCAGACAGCACTGTTCACAAGGACCACAGTGTCAACAGTGACACCCACCCCTGCATCCTGTGGTTCCAGTGGCCCATCTTTATGGGTTGAAGCGTGGAGGGTACATGGACCCTGATGCACAGGCACAAAGGCACGCATGCACACACACACACACACACACACACACACACACACACACACACACACACAGCTTTCCAGAAAGGACTCAGAAATCCCCCTTCAGTGTACATTGTAAGCTTTGCCAGGGGATGGGCTGCCCCTTCTAGGTTCACCTGGACCAGTTCAAGTTTCAGCCCCTGCCAAACATTCTCCTGACATCCTCATCTCCTTCTTTCCTGCTTTGCACAGTACAAAGTTGTACCCCACTATTTATCCTTGCCTTTTGTTTCTAATTTTCCCTCCAATAGAACTCCAAACCCTGGCAAGGACTCTGGCTTGCCTTTTGGGGAAGGCTCCACAGAGCCTCACTGAATTCTAAGGGAACAGAAAGGTCTCCTTCTATCCCAGACCAGAAATGAAAATAGGGTTCATCTCAAGCCTCAGCAAGGTTAAGGGTGGTGACTGCCTGGAACCCCACCTGGGGAAGGATCCTGCTGCCACAGGCCCTGGGTTGTTTCTCATGGAGCAGTATGTGTACCATGAACACACCACCTCTCTCTTAGGCTCTCTGAGCTGGAAGGCAGCCCACTCAGCAGCTAGACCTAGGAGGTTCCCACCATGCCATATCAACCTTTATGATCAGATTTACTTAGAGTTAAATATACAGATTACTGGGTCTCTTCTGAGAATCATCAGAAGCCACTTAGGAATTTGTCTTTTTAAAACCTCCCCAGGTGATTCTGATGATCAGCCAGATGTGCATCCCAGGACTCTAGCCTAGCCCATCCAACAAGGAGTCCGGCTCCCGCACCCATGACAAAGCCTCAGCACACCTGGTGTGCTTCCCTTCCCCTGGCAGCCCTCTGTCACAAAGTGAGAGCACTCAGGTCACAGTCATCTTTTCCTCCAGTTCTTCAGTGGTACCCAATATGACTTGAGTTATGGGGAATCCACAGGAAATTCTCCAAATACGGCTCAAGCGGCCTGGCACTGAGGATTTGTTATATTTACAAGTTAGTCCTGTGGGTGTGAGTATGTATGTGTGCTGAGGAGGGAGGGGGCTTGATGAATACCTGTGATTTCCTTTCTCAGTCTTTTATTTAGGAATCCTGTTTGCCTGCTCTTTTGACGTGTACCATCTTTTACTACAGATGCAATTTCTGCCCTGGGAAAGCCTTGGAAAAGGGTCAGCACACCTCTCTATCAACTGAAACAGCACCCAGTATTCCTTTTCCTTTTAATAGCTCACCAGTAAGTCATGGCAAGTCTCTGGATCTCTACCCGCACCCCGCCCCCACCAGTTTCCAAATGAGGGTCCCCAACCCTGCAGAACACCACTCTGATGACTCAAGGGTCCCACCTGGAGTGTGGGAGCTGCGTGCAGTTGGTGGTGTGTCAGTGTGATCTGGGTCTTGCACAGGGTGGCACTAAAGTGTATATAAAACCTTTTGTCCAGAGTTGAAGAAAAATATGTAAGACCTTTTTAACTCAGGAAAAGATAGGAGAAAAACTGTAAGTTTCTTCTTGAAGAATGGTGAGCAGCTCCTAAGCCTTTCAGTGCTTGCCAGCAAGAGAGTAAAAAAACAAAGTTTCAAAGAGATAATTTGAGAAGCACTGATTACAACAGGTGTATTTTGTAAGTGGGTTTTTATAAAAACTGAAGTAATATTATAAAAGTATATAGACTAAGTAAGTTGTTCTAAGTTTCACGGTATAATATTTCTCTAATAATACTTAGTATTAATGAAATTGTGATTTATTATATATGGAGTTATATTTTCTGACGACTTAAAATGGCTTTTGGTACTGTAGCTCAGTATAGTATAGAGATAATAAATATTTATTTTTATCTAAAGGCAAATTTGAAATCAACACTAAATTTTTCTCAATAAAGAATTATTTTAAAAATGTGAGCTTTAAGAGATAAAGCATGATGACTAAGAAAAAAAAAGAAACAATATTTGCAAAGTTTTCACATTGTGACAAAATTTTTTAAACTGCATGGGTACTCATTTCAAAGAATGCATTGTTGTTCAATAATATCGCAAGGATTTTTATTCTTGTGAACAATAAGTTTGTCTTTTTAAAAATGACTACAAACTGTGTACATAAAACCATGTATTAAGTCATTACTGGAGGATCAAATGTAATTAAATATGTCTTGTTTATAGCTTAGGATCAAACTGCATTTTCTAACACCTCATAAAATGAACTGTTAAAACAAGCTTTCCCCACTCTATAGTAATTAATTGTTGCCACCAGGCAGAAAAGTCAGTTAATAAAACACAGCACCCTCAAAACCAAACATGAACTTAAACGGTAGATCCAAAGTATACATGGGGGCTTCCCTGGTGGTGCACTGGTTGAGAGTCCGCCTGCTAATGCAGGGGACACGGGTTCGTGCCCCGGGCCGGGAAGATCCCACATGCCGCGGAGCGGCTGGGCCCGTGAGCCCTGGCCGCTGAGCCTGCGCGTCGGGAGCCTGTGCTCTGCAATGGGAGGGCCACAACAGTGAGAGGCCCGCGTACCGCAAAAAAAAAAAAAAAAAAAAAAAAAAAAAAAAGAATACATGGGATATATTAATAAAATAAAAACATTTCAAGTAATTATGTTGGTTTTATAAATTCCATGCCATTTCGACAAAGATCCCAACAATATTTCTCATGAAACTTGACTAACTGATTCTATTATGTATATAGGAGGGCAAAGGGCCAAAAGTGGCCAAGATAATTCTGAGAAGCAAGGTGGCAGATGGGGGTAAATTTGCCCTATCAGAAACTGAGATTTGTCGCAAAGGTAGTAACTAAGCCAGGGCAGGATTGGCACAGGGATAGAGAATGAGCCCCATTAGAATGGAATAGAGGGACTCCCTATTGGCTAAGAATCCACCTGCCAATGCAGGGAACACAGGTTCGAGCCCTGGTCTGGGAAGATCCCACATGCCGCAGAGCAACTAAGCCGGTGCACCACAACTACTGAGCCTGCGCTCTAGGGCCCGCAAGCCACAACTACTGAGCCCATGTGCCACAACTACTGAAGCCCGCGCGCCTAGAGCCCACGCTCCGCAACAAGAAGCCACCGCAATGAAAAGCCCGCTGCCACAACAAAGAGTAGCCCCTGCTCGCCGCAACTAGAGAAACCCCACGTGCAGCAATGAAGACCCAAAGCAGCCAAAAATAAATAAATTAAATAAATAAATTTATATATTAAAAAAAATGAATGGAATAGAGAACTCAGGAAAAGTCCCATGAGTGTATGAGTTATTATAGATTCATGCTGACACATGCTGACACATGACAGAAGTAGCAATGCAGATCAGTGGGAAAAAAATCATTAAGTGATACTGGGAAAGTTTGCTACCCATATGGAAAAAAATAAAATTGAATTCCTACTCACATAATACCTGAAGATAAATTCTGGGTGGATTAAAGCCCTAATTGTGAAAAAGAAATCTTTAAAACTTTTATAAGAATATATAGAAGGATATTTTATAACTTTAGGGGAGGGAAAGATTTCTCAAGGAAACTCTAAAAGTACAAACCATAAAGGAAAAGAATGATACATTGAATTATATTAAAAGTATGCATCAAAGTCTATTAGAACTGATAAAGGATTAATACCCTGAATTTATAAAGAATTCCTATAATATTAAAAAGATGAATTAAATAGAAAAATAGAAAAGGATTTGAGTAGGTAATTCATCCAACGTGGCGCAGTGGTTAAGAATCAGCCTGCCAGTGCAGGGGACACGGGTTCAAGCCCTGGTCCAGGAAGATCCCACATACCGTGGAGCAACTAAGCCCGTGCACCACAACTACTGAGCCTGTGCTCTAGAGCCCGCGAGCCACAACTACTGAGCCCATGTGCCACAACTACCAAAGCCCACGCACCTAGAGCCCGTGCTCTGAAACAAGGGAAGCCACCGCAGTGAGAAGCCCGCACACCTCAACGAAGAGTAGCCCTGCTCGCTGCAGCTAGAGAAAGTCCAAGCACAGCAACGAAGACCCAACACAGCCAAAAATAAATAAATAAAATAAATAATTTTTATTTTAAAAATTAGCATTAAAAAAAAAGGATGTCCCAATGACAAATATACTTGAAAATATGCTCACTCTCACTAAAAAACAAGGAAATGGAAAACTACAATAAAATTTCCTTTCACACCCATAAAATGAACAAACATTTAAAAGTGTGAAGAGCATGTAGAGAAAAAGAAACTATGATACACTGGTGGTGGGAGTGTGAATTAATACAACCTTTTTGGAGAACAACTTGTCAATAGCTAGAAAAGTTGAAGATACACTACCCAATGGCCTAACAATTCCACTACTGGCTATCATCTATGTTCAAGGCTTAGAGAATCTCTAACACAAGGGCACAAGGAGACTTGTACAAAACCATTGTACAAATAATATTACATTTTTCTTAAGGATATATATTTTTAATAAAAGTATGCATAATAAACGTATATCTAATAAAGTATATAATAAAGGTTTATAAAATATGTTATGTATTATATAATATTATAAAGTGTACAGATTGCAGATATGTATGTGATGATAAAACTAAATTCAGGATGGTGGTTACCTCTGGGGGTGGGAGGGAAATGGGACTGAAAGGGGGGTCCACAGGGGGGGCTTTGGCTCTTTCTGTAATATTTCACTTCTTAGGCTGATTAGTGAGATCATGCATATTCCTTATATTATTCTTCATGCTTTATGCATTTTCTTAAGTCTGAAGATTATTGTGATAAATTTTTAATATTAATATTTTATAATAAATATTTTTAAACTAATAACTAAAAAACAAGAATGGTTGGTAATTTCCAAGTAGCACTGTGCTTTCCAACAAGAATAAAATTTAAAGAAAAAAGTTAAAACAAATTCACTTTTGGCATTAGTTTACACGCTAATCATTCTTGGTCAAACACCTGATATCCAAAGATAAGAAAGGTAAGAATCTTCCTCTGCTAATATATTTGATAGTTTACTTTTTTGTTATACATGTTAAAAATACTTTCTGTGTTTTAGCTGTTTCAAATGCTTTAAAAGGAACTTTGTTCAGATAACTATATGTGGTAAAACAACAATGTGAAAAAAATTCCTGATTTTAATAATTACATCAGTTAATGTAAGATTCAGCAATTAACTTACTAAGCTTTCCTTAAAGAAGCAACGCATAAAAAATTTATTTGCTCAGTTTTGTATTAATGGTGTTAGGATAATAGTAAAGAAATAGAATAGCTAACACTTAATGCTTACTCTATGCCAAGGTGCCACTGAGTGCTCACAGCAACCCTATGTGGTAAGTACTCTTCTCATCCTCATTGTACAGATGAAAAAAACGGAGGCACAGAGAGGTTAAGTAGTTTGCCTAAGGACACATAGCTAGTAAGAGGCACTGGGATTAGAATCTAGGAAATCTGGCTCCAGAGTCTGTGCTTTTAACACTACCATGAAGATGAAGAAAAATACATTTCGTATTACAGTATAAATAAAATAAAATGAAAGCTGTTCCAAAAACCTCACTGACTCTTAAACACGATGCTTAACTGACTTTGACATTGGTCCTTAGCTCTTGGGAGACCCAGAAATTTCTGTTTCATGGCAATCAATTGAAGAATAACCCGATTCAAAATGTCGGCATCCCAAAGTTGGCAGACAAGGAAGTACAGCAGTTCCCACATCCTTTAACCACTGGCCTCTTACCCAGCAGGAAATGCATGTGCACCCCAGCCCTCACCTTTGCACATAGGCTCCGCCTCGCATGCGCAGGGGCCCTACCTGTCCGTGCAGCGCGAACTCCAGCACCAGACCCCACAGGTCCACAAAGGTTGTGGGGTAGCCCTGCTCAGCCCGTTGTTCCAGCTCCCGATGGTAGCTCGCCAGGCGCTCAGGAGAGAAGGCCTCCAGCTTGCTCTTGGCCAGGTGCTCCCGGGCGTGTCCAATGGGTCCCTTCAGGTCTCTGTGCGACCACTCAGGGTCCCCATACAGATGGGCCATTGTCCTGAGAGAATAAAGGGACATTACAGTCTGAGGTCAAGGCCCAGCATGGGTCGCTGCAACTCCAACTTCCACCCTCCCGACTTCTCCCAACACGTGGCTCTGGCTGCCAAAGCCCCACCTATCTGGAAACTGCGTCAGGGCATTCTCTCCTTCTTGATCCATACTGTCCAATATAAATAGAATGTGCGCCACGTATGTAATTTAAATTTTCGTAGTAACCACATTTTCAAAAAGTAAAAAAAGATCTGAAAAATTAATTTTAACAGTATATTTCATTTAATTCAGTATCCAAAATTATCATTTCAGTGTGTAATTGATATGAAAATTAATATAAATATTCTTTTCAAACTGTTTTTTCAGAATTCACTGTGCATTTTATATTTATAACACATCTCAGTTTGGACTAGCCACATTTCAAGTGGTCAATAACCACACGTGACTGGTGGCTACTGTATTGTACAGCACAGCTGTAGACCCCTACTCCCATCTTTATAGATCTGTCCTGAAGCCCTTTAAGACTCTGCTTGTCAACAGCAGTCACCTAAACTCTGAGTTTACTCCTCTTTTACTCCTTAAAGTCACATTTCGATAAGACTCAAAGGAATGAATCTCTAATAGTGAAAAGTTCCACTTCGTCATAGGCAGAGTGGAGCATAGGGTGGCAATGTTGTTTTTAGGTAAAATAGCATCTCTTGACCTCAGTTTCCTCATCTATACTATACAATAAGAGAAACGACCCCAGAGAGCGTTGTGAGGATTAAATGAGGCAACAACAATTAAAGGAAAAAAAGCTACCAATTTGGAGCTCCTGGTACGTGTCAGACATGTTAAGTGCTTTACTTGGGCTGTCCCACTCCAGTCCTATGGAGTATGTAGTATTATTTCCCCCACTTTGGAGATGAGTCGACTGAGAATCAGAGGAAATAAGTTGCTCAAAGTCACCTAGCCAGTAAGTAGTGCTGCAGAAACTCAAACCCAGCTCCTTCTGGATCAGTAGCATGGAATGGATGTCCTGCAATGCCTTGCTCATGGCAGGACCTCTGAATGTCCGTTTCCCCCCTTTTGAGAAAGTCACTTGGTACCCATCAGAACATACTGCTCACACCCACTTAGAGGGCCCCTCTGATGTCCACTCCATTTCCCCTTGGGGCCTGATCATCTCTGCTCTTCCAAGCCCCAAGGGCCCTCACCATGTAGAGCCCGAGATGCCACTGAAGTAGGTCACACAGTCCAGAAGGCCCAGCTTCTGCAGGGCCAACAGGTGGCCATAGAGAGAGGTCATGGCCCGGGCACCTCCTCCTGTGGCCATGATGCCCACGACGGGGACCTGGGTTGCACAGACACAGGTTGGCTTAACATGGACAGGGATGGAGCTGCCTCCTGCCTCCAGGGAAGGGACCTCGAGGTCAGAGCCTGAAGAAGTCAGGGTTAGAGCTAGCGCCCGGCTGCTCCCCAGCAAATGACAGCTCTCAGCCTTGGATAGATCCCTAAAGAGAGCTTCCCCATGCCCCACATCTCCCCACATATGCCCACTCCTCAGTCTCTGCTGACTGGAGTATCTGGAGAGGGCATAGCAATCAGGCACTCCCTTAAGGCGAGTGCAAGGTATCTGTACCCACATCCCCCTTCCCCCACAAACCTCATCTTCCTGTAGGTCTCTGTCCAGCTGTGGGGCCTGCTTCAGGGCCTTGGCCACCACCTGCTTCCTCCTGCTCAGGAAGGCTTTCTCCTCCGCACACAAATCGAAGCCCAGATGCACAGCCAGCTCCTTCGGGCTGGGGCAGTGGAGGATCCAAGGATCAGGGGGCACCTGCATAGCTCAGCTACTGGCTGGTCGAGCCCACAATAGCTGCCAAATAAACTCCTTGCTCCCAACCCCTAGGACCACACTTTCCACATACTCCCCAGCCCCATAACTACCCCTGTCCCCCACAGATATGAATGTCCCTTACCAGCTCTCAGTCTTGAGCTGCAGCTTCACTCCTGGGGCCTGAAATCAAAACAAGAGACCCCACTCAGAATGTCCTAGACCCTGAAGGGAGTGTGGGTATCCCCTGGGGGCCTTGGGGTCTTTATTCTCACTGGCAATTCCCATCCAGCTGAGGCCACTTACATTTGTAGCAGGAACGTCAACTGTCACCTCCTCCCTGATGGCCAAGGACCTTAGGGGTACAGTGAGGTACCCAGCTGAGTTGCCTGAGTTCCAGCCATTGCTTTTAGAGGTCTGGAAAGAAAAGTCATTCATTCATTCACTCACTCAACAAATCCTTACTGAGTATCTAGACAGCGATCTGGACAGACACAGGCCCTCCCTGATACTACAAAAATAATTACAGTATTTACAATTATTGTAATTAAAAAATTACAATTACTAATCATTACAAAAATAATAATAGCTAACCGAATCACTGTGCTATACACCTGAAACTAACATAATATTATAAATCAACTAAACTTCAATAAAAACTAATAAGCATAGCGGGCTTCCCTGGTGGCGCAGTGGTTGAGAGTCCGCCTGCCGATGCAGGGGACACGGGTTTGTGCCCCGGTCCGGGAAGATCCCACATGCCACGGAGCGGCTGGGCCTGTGAGCCATGGCCGCTGGGCCTGCGCGTCCGGAGCCTGTGCTCCGCAACGGGAGAGACCACAACAGGGAGAGTCTTGTATACCGCAAAAAAAAAAAGTAAATAAATAAAAATAAAAATAAAAAAATAAGCATAGCTTACATTTATTTAGTGTATTAATAGCTGATATGTGTTTATTTATTATTCTGAGTCATGTGCATGAACTTATAAAGAAACAGGTAACGAACTGGCGTTAGTAAGTATTGTAAAGGAGATAAGCAGGGTGATGCGATAGAGTAACCAAAGGTGGGGTGTGTAGAGTCTGTTTAAGATGGAGGGTCAAGGAGGGCCTCTGGAGAGATGCCATCTGAGCTGAGATCTAAAGGAGGAGGAGAAAGAGGAGCAGGCAGCCTCGGAAGGAGCCGCAGGAGGACAGGGAAAGCACTTGGTATGTTGGAAAAGCAAGAAGAGACAAATATGGCTGGAGCATCGTGAATGAGGGGGAGCATGGAAGAAAATGAGGCAACAGAGGTGCGCAGGGGCCAGGTTATGCAGGGCCTATGGACGCAGACACGGGATTTTATTCTAGGAGCCTTATCGGAGGAGCCATTGAAGACTTCAAAGACTGACATGGCACAGCAGCCCCCTCCCCCCCGTGCCCACGCGAGGCCCCTGGTGATCCTCCCCGTCTGCCAAGGGCATGGTGCCTAACTGGAGGAGGCTGACAAGGCCACAGGGCCCTGGCCTTGGCAGGTGGATGGCCAGAGAGAAGCCTGAAGCAGGTGGAGCTGGCCCAAGGCTGGGGTCGGCAGGGGAGCTCCAGAGCCAAAACCTACCCTCAGGCACCCACTCAGCTCTGCCTCTTGGGCTGCCATGTAGTGGAAGCAGAAGGCAGAGGCTGTTCCCAGGGCAGATGTCTGTGTGTCCTCATATGAGCCCTTCAGCACCAGCTCCAGCTCCAGCTCGTCCTGATCTAGGGAGAGAGTGGACAGGTTAGCACAAGGGAAACAAGAGCCCAGAACCCCAGCTAGGATCCAGGAAACCGGCAGTACTGCCCAAGACATGGGGAGGCCGGGTGGCTGGACCATGGCAAACAGCATTCTGGAAAGGACTCTCCCCACATCCCCCATGGGACTCCCACCTCCGGCGACAGGCCTTCCCCCAGGTCAGGGGGACTCTCCTGCCCAGAGGAGACCAGTTGCCTTTGCACTGTGTGGGCAGCCTCCTGCTGTACAGGTTCCCCAGCCACACCCAGCAACCCTCCACACTCCAGACAGAGACCAGACCTCATCCTGAGCAGGTCTCACCTGCAGCCTCGGCTGTGCTCCCCATGCTGTCCAGATGAACATCCAGGCAAGACAGTTCTCGGGCCTGGGGCAGACCACATCATGGGCAGGGGGCTCTGCAGGGGAAGCTGAGGTCTCCCCTCAACCTCACCCTCTGAGCCCCCTGTCCCAAATCCACCACACACAGAACCAGAAATAGGGTCCAGGGTAGGACCAGTCCTGCCGTTGATGGACTTGCCAAGTGAGCCTGCTGCATTCTCTCTGTAATGCGTGCCAGCTGATGCCTGCAGCCCACTCAGCTCTGGCCGCTACCCTCTCCCTTAGAACTGCTGAGCTCATCAACATGCCGCTGGTCTCCATCACCTCAGATAGAAGGCAGCTGCCATAGGTGTGGCTATTTTAAGGTGTATTTGAAAAAGTAATACTAGCCCATCAAACAGGCACTCGTAGGACCCCAAGGGTGGATGCCTGCTTCAGTTTTGAACGCCAGCTGCCTTACTACATGCAGGGCCTGGCTTAGCTCCCAGGTCATGCCTGTGCTGCTCGTTGAGGGTGTTCCTTTGAGTAGAAAGTTTCTAATCCTCACTCACCACACATTCCTGTCTGCTGCAGCTTCGTGAGCTTGCTATGCTTTAGGAGAGCTGACCCTCCATTGTCCAGAGGAGAAGCTGATTGACCCCTGATCCTATCTCAAAGCTCCCTGACTGGAAGCACACCACACTGTAACCTGAGCCTGCTGGCCTGGCCTTCGAGAGACTTCCTCGCCCCCTTCAGGGCTAAGAACTACGAAGTCATCACACAGAACTAAACACCATCAGGAAATGCCTAAAATTCCCCCAATATTCCCTCAACCCTCCTGCCTTGGGCCAGAATTCCTCTCAGCAGAGCCTCGGGCCTCCCCTCTCTCTCCGAGTTCTTTAGCCCCAGGCCCCTCCGAAGCCAGACTGCAGCTCCAGGTGACCACCTAGCAGGGAGGTGGACTGGTCTTACCGCAAAGCCCTGTCCTTGCCTTGTCCCTTGCAGCCCACCCGCCAGGCAGCCCCGCACCTACCCCAGTGTCTGCTCTGGGGCCCCTCCCTTAGCGCACCCCACCCCTCAGGCCTGGGGAAGATGGTTACCACAAGCACGTTGCTGGTGATGAGGTTTTCTGGGCAGCCTGACCTGGAAAAATCAAACCATCCAGAGTCCGGCCTTGCAAAGGCAAAGGCTTCCTGCACTGATGTGCCCCCTCCCAGCCAGGCTGCACCCAGGTGGGGCCTCCCTGGGTGACACTGAGGGTTCTCTACGTCCTGGGTATGTTCCAGGGTGTGGGGAGATGCTTCTGAAGAGTGAAAGGCCCTCATCTTTCACCACGGCAGACAAAACACCAGCCTCTTCCTCTCCTCATTTCTCTGAGGGTCCCCCACAACCCGACTGGCAGGGGTAGGAGATGAGGAACAGCAAATCTGGGCTGGTCAGACCAATGGGAAGATCTGGGTTAAAGGCATTTTCCTAAGGAAAGTCTAGGTCCTGAGACACCCCCTGAGCTGTGTGGTACTACTTACGTTTTCTCCATCAGGAACTCCACGTCCAGCTCCTCCGGTCCCTGAAATTAAAGATGAGCAAGCTGTCAACATGCACACATGTCTTTAGAGTTGACACAGCTCCTTTATGTATTTCATCATCCCGAGCAGCCTCTAAGGGAGGCACGGTGTTACAACTCTTCCCATTTTACAGATGAGGAAATCGAGTCTTGGGGAAAGATGGGCTACCTGCCCAAGTTACCCACAGCTAGCTAGATCCCTGCCTGGCAAGGCTGTAGGGGAAGATGAAGACCACAAGCCAAAGGAGGCTTGAAGATGCCCAGGGCCTATTTCATCTTCCTCTCCAGGGGAACCAACCCCAGAACTCTGCCCTCCCTCCAGGTCTTGGGCACCATGAGAGGGTCAGAGGCAGTAAGCAAGAGCGACGAGCCCCCCCCCCCCCGGAAGAGCTGGTCACAACGAGCTGTGTTTTGTGGCACATGAGGAGGTTTGCCATCACCCAAAACCTTCCTTCCCCGTAGATGACTAGAATTCCTCCCTTAAGTGATTCAGCCAGTAACAGTCAAGTTAACCTCTCCTTTCCTATGAAAATGGAAATATCTCTGGGTGGGCCTTCCGTCTTCCTGCAAAGGAGTTCAAACCCAGCAGCATCCCAACAGATGGGAGAAACTGTGCCACTTCCTCAGCCTGGAGCTGAGAGGTGGGGCTGGTGGGAGCCTCCACCTGCCTGGGGATGCAGGGAGAAGGTGTTCCAGAGCAACCTGCCAGGGAGGCTTCAGAGACATCACAGAGAACCTTGAAGCAGGCGTCGTCCGTCTTGACGGCATCCTTGTCATAGATGCTCAGCTCCAGAACATTCTAAGGACCCGAGAACAGCAACGTAGCACGTTATTAACACATAGTGTGGCTCACACCTGTTGAATCCTCACTTGATGCCGAGGGCCGGAAAAGATTATTATGCCACTGCACTTTGTACTTCAAAATAAAAATACTGGTAAAACCTAGAAGTGGTAAAAAGAAATCCAGCAAAGTTCCTAATTCACTCCTGCTAATTTTTCTTTTTATAAAAAATAAAACTCTTTTGAAGTTTCCCCAGCCCAACCCCACCCCTGCTTGGCTGGTTCCCTAAGGCCTGGTAGGTACCAGGCACTATACTGGGAGTGCTCTGTGCGTGATCGCATTTAACCTTAAACAACCCAGGCAGGAGGGCTCTTGCTGCCTCCACTCCATAGATGGGTTTAGGGTAGCTTAAACCCAGTAGCTTGCCGTTCACACATTCTCTCACACACAGCACATCCAGGCTGGGGCACAAAGGCACCCCCTTCCCCAGTTTCTCTGCCTGAGCTCCGGAGGAAGGTGTACTCTACCCCAGGAACCTTCCCAGTGTGGGGTACAGCCTGTCCTCAGGGGTGTGGCCAGGGGTCCTCTGGCCTTCACCTTGACCTGACTTTGGATCAGGAAAGTGAAGGTCTCGTTCCACACAGGATGACTGGAGTTGGTGACTGTTTTTGTCTTAAACTTTGTTCCAGGTGCGGTTGGCAGCTGTAGGATCACATAGGGGTCTGCCTTGCTCACTGCCAACATCAAGAGAACAGTGTGAGAGAGAATTCCTCACACCCCTCTCCAGGGGCCTCACCAGGTTCCTCCCAAGACCCCTGCAGCCACTCAGGGCAGCCCAGCCCAGCCCAGCCCAGTCCCAAGGCACTGGGCCTTCCCCATAGGACCTGGTCCTCCCCACACCCCTGGGGCCCAGGACACAGTTACTCACAGAGGTCAGCCCAGCCCAGGCCCCGTGCCTCCAGGACCCTCACGGTGAGCTGCCAGCAGGTAGAGGTCTCCCCCTGGAGAGAAATAGGCCACAGAGTCCCTCCTGCTCAGTTACGAGCCCCCGCAATTGGTGCCGAGGCTTCTCCTGAGATGCTGCTCGCTGACGCTGCCAGGCATTCTGGGGCCAAACAGCCTTTGCCCATCACTGTCCCTAGGGCCACAGTCCTGGGCCACAGCAGTCAGGGAATGGCGGTAGAATTTGTGGGGCGCCCTCCCTTCAGGGACAGGATTGCACAGTAAAGAAAGCAAGAAACAGAGGGCCAAGGAACGGCCACCACACTGGACATGTCAGTTTGGGGTCAGCCACCCCCAGAGCTCACAGGGAGGGCAGCCCTTTGGTGAAGCATGGGACCCTGCTGCCAGGCACTCCTCCAGCCCCTGGACAGGAAGTGGGCACGTGACTCCAGGACCCTGAGCTCTGGGGATACCAGGGCTCCGTGATGGCCTCAGGTACAAACTGTGTCTTGGGTGTGAATTGGGAAACTCCAAGAGCATCAGGCTGTTACCGTGAGCAGGGGGTGAAAGTTATTAAGATGCTGGCGAGGCCACATCAGCCCATAGGCAAGCCCAATAAGGTGGAAGAAGAAACGGAGTGGGCAGAAGCTCAGAGGGACCAAGAAGACAAGCAGTAGTAGGTGGCAGGAGGAAAAGCAGAGGGCGGGGGGGATGTGGCTGAATCCTGCTGGGACAGGGCCTGGCGGGTATCTCAAACCCCTACTTCTGAGGTCCTTGCCACTGCTGAGATCCAGGGGGCCCTTCGGTTTCTGTTCTTCCTGAGGCCCCGCTGAGTAGATTTTTCTGGGCACCCTGCACACGTTTCTTATGATAAGGTCCTGTGATCTGAGGCAGAGACAGCACCGTGCTTGCATGGTGGACATTCAGCCTTGCACGGTTGGGAGACAGCACTGCGATGAAACCAAAGCTCTTTCCTGCTCTGCACCCTCCCACGACCAGTCCCACTTCTGTGCGTGTGATCTGAAAGTCTAGGCTCCCACCAGGAAACGTCTCTGCTCTGCACAGGTGCTACCTGCCAGGGGCTGGCTCAGTGTCCACGGCACCGGCTCTCCATGTCCCACAGAGAAGCTTAAGGGACAACGGGCCACAGCAAAGCCAATCAGGCTTGTGCCCTTGCCCCGACCCTGCTACCCTGTGTCCCCACATCATCCCTGTCTTGTGGCTTCTTGCTAAGTGTCTTTGTCATCCTTGTCAGCTCTCTGGCAGAGCACACATGACCCTCCCAGCAAGGTAGGCTCATTTCTCCCTTCTTGGGGATCAATGCTTGTGACATCCACAGGCCTTAAGCCAGAGGTTGTAGTTGACAGGGATTAAGTGTCATTTTAGGCACCTGGCTCCGTTTCCTCCCCACACCCAGATTCCATCACCGCCCATCACAGAGGTGGTGCTGGTTGGGACCTGGGTTCGTGTGAGGAGTTGTGGTTCAATGCCCGCTCCAAGCCAGGGTGAGGCAGAGGCAGCCAAGCTGTACCCTAGCTCCCACCCCGATCTTCACGGCCACAGCCTGTGGGCTGCTCTAAAGCCACTTGGGGCTATTAAGAATCGCCCCCAATTGCTCACTTTCCAGCCAGCCACCATACCCAAATTGGGTGTTGCTGCCCATTTCCCCCTCTGGTCACTGAGAGCCTCTTAACTTCAGAAAGCCCACCATTTCCTGGAGGATATTTTTCCTAAGATGGAACCCCATTCTCCTCACCTCTAAGAGTGTCACTAACACAGAGCACCTGGAGGATGGGCTGTGACAATCACTATAACGACTGGCCATTGCTGGGGCAGAAGAGCAGGTTCCCAGCCAGGTTGTCTGGATCTAAACCCTGGTCCTCTGCTTTCTTGCTGTGTGAGACTGGACAAGTCACTAAATTTCCTGGTGCCTCTGTTTCCTCATTGTAGTGGGACAAACAACAGTATCAACCTGACACAGTGTTCTGAGGCTGAAATGTGTTAATGCCTGTAGAATGCTTAGCAAAAAGTAAGCAGTTTCTAGATAATTGCTCTTATTACTTACTATTTATTAAGTGCTTGTTATGTTTCTAGGTGCTATACTAAGCATATTACATATTCAAACTCTATTTATCCTCCTGACACCCTCATAAGATAGTTCTCTCATTTCCTCCCATTTTACAGATGAGAGAATTGAGGCTTAGCAAGGTTGACTTGCGCTAGGTTACAGAGTTAGTTAAGTGATATAGTTAGGATTTAAACCCAGGTCTTCAAGGCCAGAGCTCACAACCCCTTTGTGGTTCTACACTCTTAGGACTTTGCTTCTTTGTAAAAGCATGCAACTCTCATCCCCTGCCCCATGGATATCTAAACATTAGAATTTCATAGATTTGTTTTAGACAAATAGGATTATTTAGCCAACTGATGTGTTAACTAGTAGGATTCTTTTCTCCTGAGGGCTCTGGGGCTTCACCTTCCCTGTTGAAAGATCCTGCCACTTGGAATACTGCCTTCATCGATGACTGACCCTGGATGCTCCTGGAGGGGTCTCAAGCAGGGCGCCTGCACCCAGCTTCCTGTAGCATCCTGGGAGTGCCTCTCTGCTGAGAGTCCCAGCCACCCTCTCTGCCCCTGCACAGGAGCCCCGGGGCCTCCTCCATCCTCCGTGGCTCAGTGCTGGTCTCTGCCCATCACGGAGGATATAGCCCAAGGTAGATTGAGTGGGGTCCAGAGGATCTATAACCATGAGGTCTTCAGCTGGGGGAGTCAAAGGATCAGGCTGCCTTTTCTCCCTGCTGGCACCCAGTGACCCGCAGTAGGACAGTGTGGGGAGGTTGGACAGACAGGAAGTGGGAGCTGCGGGCACAGCCTCTGAGTCAGGCTGAGGTGATGCTCCTCACCCTGGTCTCCAGGGCCCTAGATTCTATGGATGCCAATTGTCCATCCCACCCACTCCCCGTCCCTAAGCACAGATTCCCTCACCATCTGTCTCCCACCTCCAGCCTCTGCCTAGGCAGAGACTCCAGGTCTGGGACCCAGCCCGTCCCCAGAGACCAGAATCACCTTGGTTTCAGCTATGTCAAGCTTGTTAGAATGCACCCTAGCTCCAGGCCCTGTCCTGAGTGATGCCGACAGGCTCAGTGACATTATTACCTGGTGAGGATGGCCAGGTGGTCCCCTAGGTGTCATTCTCTCCATGCCAAACCTTTGGCTCCACTCCAGGCCCAGCTCCCTCCAAGATGACAGCTCCCTGGCTGGCTGGCAGCAACTACTCAGATGGAATGGGACTGACGGTGGACCTGCCTGCCTCTGAGGGGCCACGATCCTATAAACAGCCAGAGCCCCACCTCCAGGTCACTCCCTCAGCCCAGTACCTTCTCCTCTCTTCTCCTGGAGGCTGAATCAACTAGCTTTTCCAGAAACTTCTGGCAAGGCTCCAGGACCTGCAGGTGGAGCATCGCTTCCAGACCTGGGATGTCAGGATACAAGAGAGGGGAAGTCAAGTCCCGGGAGCAGCGGCAGGAAGCTGGTTTCCCTGAGACTGAGGGCAGAGGGCAGGGTGGGGTCAGAGCTAGGAAACCCCTGCAGCCCAGCCCCAGCCTGAGCCAGGCCAGCCTCTGGGGGAGGAGGGCTGAGCACCTGAGAGTAGATGAGCAGCCAGGAGCCTGGGTGTAATAATAGGGCGGCCCCAGGGGCGGGCTCCGAGCAGACTCTGGAGACCTAGCTGCAGGGGGTTCTGGACTCTTGCTCTAGGCCTCTCACTCCTTCCGTGTGGCTGGTGCTAGGAATTTAGAGGATTTCTGTTAAAATAGAGTGACAAACTTTGTAGTAAAGGTAAGAGACCAATCAGGAAACTCTTAGATTATGAATATTACAGAAAAAAGCTCTGTGAAGTCACCTGTTTAAACTATTCAGTACACACAACATGAAATGTTCTCCTGAAATGCCATGAACTCAGTCATTTTACTGTCAATTCGTTATATAATTGAACAATAATGATTTGTTTTTTGAGGCAAGTGAAACTGAATTAATGTTAACCTATTACAAATGGATCTAAAATGTATTATTACAGAATCAGCCAGAAAAGAACATTAATAATGGTCTATGAAAAATCATTTGAATGAGAAATATCAATACTTTTAAAAATGTAGAACACTGCAAAGAACAACTTATTCCAAAGTGGGTCACAGGTGAAGCAATGCACAAAGTCACTGGCTGGTGAGTAGCAGAGCCCAGGATTATGTTCTCTAGACTGAAAGTTCTACCTCCACCCCAGAGTGGGCTCAGCC